GAGTATTTTTAACAGGTTTACAGGAATTTTAAATAGTACAAGAACGACTATATTATATAAAAGGTTAAAAAAATATTCTAAACTATATTTATGACATTATAGTAATTACTACAGATTCTAGATGGCATCCTTAATAGATGCCAACTAAATACATACACATACATACATAAATATGATAAAATTTAATTAAGTGCATCCGTTTTTTACGAAAATAATTCTACTACATATATTGTACATAAGAAAAATGAATTCCCACTTTATGTTGCAATCTCTTTTATATTTATTAAAAGAAATTAAGATATTCATGTATATATACTATTTTATGTACTACATATGTACATAAATCGTATTCACAACAAATTTATTTATAAAATTAATAAAAATGAAAACTTTTCTACATGATTTCCTATTCATGATTTCAAACACATTCAACTTTTAGTTTTTTTTCTACTTATTTTATCTTATATCCAATTTTCGAGTTTCTTTCTTATACATAACAAAATTGATTTCTTTTAACTCATTACCTTCCGGCGTTATTTCCAAAAAACTTTCCTCTGGTACCGGGGCAAATTAAAAAAAACTATTTCATTTGAAATGGTTTTTAGATTCAGAAACTTGAACAAAATAACTTCGAATTATCAAAATTGTAACCAATTAGAAATTATGTAATAATATAATTCAATAGTTTTTAAAATAATAATATATTTTAATAATTTTGATACATGGATAATTAAACAGTTTAGTACTTTTTATTTGTATGATATTTTTGAAAGCATTCTCCAATATTAAATGCTACTTTAAAAGATTTACACATGTAAGCACTTGGTTTTCTTATTTTATACGCAAAACAGACGCGACAATTTCTTCTAACAAATTTTTTGGCCTTATCGCTGAATATTATCTTATAAAGGCGTTTTCTCTTATTTTATAAAGATGTTTCAATTCAAATACAACAATATGTACATATATGTGTACACGGGATTTTCTTGAAGTTCAATGAAAAGCACAAATGTGTGCACACGGGACCAGCGTTCCAACTTGGATAGAATTCTATCCATTTGCATACATTTTTGCTTTAAAATTTGGCTTGAATACAAAGATACGCAAATCTGCTGAAACGTCGAAATTAGCTACATTTTAAAATTTTGCTGAAATATGGATACATTTCTTTCTTTAACACTAAACAAATGTTACCAAACTTTTAAAGTGCTACTAATATTAAATCGCGAAATTGCTTTTACCGCATAATTCAACAGCTACAGAACATATATTTTCTGACCTTAAGTTTTGAAGTGCAATAGAAATTGCGTGTGATTTCTAAAAGAATTTACTAAAAATAATGAAACTTACATTGTTGAATAAAGCAAATTAATATTATTTATGAGTTTATTTGTACAAAATAAGACGACTTTGTATAATACATAATTATATTTTAAAAGGTTGTATACATTTTGAACACATTTTTTTCTCGAAATTGTATACATTTTGTTTTTACCGAGTGGGAACACTGCACGGGACGTAATGTGTTAATGAAAATTATCTTATACACACACACATTCAGTTAACATGTTATTTCAACTCAAACTTATTTTGAATTCAATACTCAACAAAAATTGAAAAAGAAGGAACTACTATTAAAAACAACTTATTGTTGGTTTCTGGTACTTTTTAGACAATTCTTTTATTTTTCTTTCACTAATTTGTGTATGTTGCCCGTTATTTTTCATGTTTAACATTCATTTTATTTCAAGAAACGAGCAATAATATTTCTTCTTAGCTTCATAGCAAATACTCATAAAAGCGGCAACAAGTTGAACATACAATTTTTCGTTCAATTATTTTATTAAAATCTTTCTGAGTACCTTTCTTGATTTTATGTTATCCAAGCATTTTTCTTGAAATATGTTGCCATTATGTGGCTAACTGAATGAATTGAATGAATTGAATGAAAATAATTTCAAAATAGGTGTGTGTGTTGTTGTTGTTTCTTCAATCGTCAATAAATTTAAAATTGAATATTGTATAAAATATTTTTGAATTCAACATACTCCAAGCAACGTTGTCTAATCGGTTTGTTGTTCTTTTCCGTGACTTATTGCAAACATTGCAAACATTTTTTTCATACTTTGAAATGTATCTAAATTTTATGTAGCTATCAAAGAAGCTCTAAAATTTTTGTTGAGATTTTTTGATACTACGTTAATTTGTGAAATTTTTGGTCTATCGTACAAGTAATTTAAATTGAAAGTTATACAATGTTTACGATGCAATTTACTCATTTTACGTTATCTGCTGGCTTAAAAATTTGCAGCAAAATTGGCTAAAATAAAACATTTTGTATTTGAGCGTATAGAAATTTCAAATTTCATTATAATTATGTGATTAAACACATAAAATTATTTATTTTGTAATTGGAAACAAAAAAATTATGTTGAAAGTGAATTATAAAAATTGAAACAACAAGACAATAAAACCAGTTTATGTGTAAATTAGATGCCATAAAAAAAAAAATTATAAAGGATATTTCAAGTTACTAAATCTTCAATCCGTGAATTATACATTTTTGTCTTACAGGAAGGAATACTTCGGTTATGAGTCGATCTTGATTTTATATTGAAGTTTCAGACCTAATATTTTTTTTTTTATTTCTTTTGGTTTTATGTGCGTTTGTTTTTTGCTTTTTCACTAAAAATTATGCGTTTTTCTAAATTATTACAGAAAAGAAAAAAGATTTTAAATTTAAATTTTTAGTAAAATCTTCCCTAGAATTAAAAAAATTAAAAAAAATATAACCGAAAAAGATCAATATTTATTTTGTTGCAAACAGCCAAAAGAGTAGTTAGTAGTAGTAGATTTATTTTAGACGCACTATTGTCCTCTGCAAATCCTCATTTAACCAAGCGAGCAGAAATTGCAAAAATCCGAAAAAAATCTCAATGAAATTGCAATTTAAAAAATAAAAAAAAAAAATGTTTTTTTTTTTTAAAATCATGAAATCCAGAGAATCCTCAAAATAACCAGATTTCAATATACTTTTATAATATAAGTAGTATAAGTATGTAAGAACATAAATACATATAATATCTGTTAACATAAGTTTTATTAAAGTGGTACAGGCAACATATGTATACATACATATTTAGTATATCTACATACCTACTTTACATTTATATAATTCTTGCATCGTATTCTTCTGCATTTTCCACCTACTTCTTATACATATACTTATATATAAATTATAGAGCATAACTATTTTCATATACATGTATATATTGTGTATTCAATATTTGGATATCTCTTTGTATATTAATAAAGTTTTGAAACCATTATAATGTTAGATTACATTCATAATTATTAAAAATAAGAAAGTTATGATAGTAAGACCTATTTTACTAACTAACAAAATTGTGTAGTTGATTGAAATTTACAAATTATTTAAATACATTTAACCCTACGATTAATGCTATATACACGAATATTTTAAAATAAAATATTTTACTTAATTTATTAGCTTTCGGATTCATGCCCTCAAAGGTATTATGTGCGGGTAGGTAGCAATTTCCTACTCATAAAATTTCTGGCAAATTTTAATTAAACAGAATAACAGCACAAATTATTTGTAAAAAGTAAGTACCGTCTTGGGGTAAAGTAAAATTGGATAAACGTCATCTGAGTTTCATACGAAAGTAATATGAGATATATAAAACGAACATCTTCTATAAGATAACAATTTGTATTTGAAATGATTTTGCTGTGATTTTGTAGTTACATAGATGTTTTGAATGATATTTACGACTAAACATGAAAAACCACATTTTAATTTATAATGCACTACGTATTCGTGTATTTACATTTTATATTCATAAAATGTACAAATTACAATAAATATATGAATTATAATTACAAGAATTTATAATAATGCAAGAGCTTACCAGAATTCTGCAAATTTATTTTCTGTAATTTTAAATTCTACTGTATACACCAAAAATAATGAAATCTTTAGTATAATTGTGTAATTTAATACAACTCTGTAGAAACATGTATGTTTGCATAAAATTGGAAATATTCTATATTCGAAAATATTGTTACTTCATTAATATTTCCTTATAATAATAAGCATTCACGGATATTTCTGACATAAGCAAGATACACGATATTTCTGATATCGTGTATTACTAACAAAAAATAGTATCGCTATCAGAAATAGTATTTCTATCAGAAGTATAGTGTATCGTACGATATATTTTTTTCATAATAATTGCCAATATCATTTATTGATTTATTGACAATATCAATATCCATTGTGCTCAGAGCATTAATTAGCTTTAGCAGTAGTAACGAAATTACGACAAAAACTTCATAGTTGCCACTTGTAATAAAGAAAATTTATGATGTTGTTGAAGTACTGTCACATCCATGAAAAAAAATCTGAAAATGCTATTAAAAAAGGCACAATAATAATTTTAAAAACTTAATATCTGTAATATACATAATTAATTTATTCATTTATACATTATCTAGGTACATAATAAAATTCAGGTTTATTATAAACAATTGATATTGATTTTTTATATTTTGTTTTTTTTTTTTTTTTCAGTAGAAACACTATAATATAGATATATAATTATTTTTTTTTTTTTAAATTAAATATGTACTGTTGAATATCAATTTTGGTTAAAAACATAAATAACAAAATTCCAACTTAAATATGCCTATTATTTTGTAGAAGAATCTTTTTAAATAAAAAAAAAAACATACTTTTGAACATATTATATGCATCCATATACACATATTAATAATTATTAGATAAAAAAAAAATATACGTATTTACCTTGGTTTTAATTGAAATTAAATTAATTTAAATCTTAATAAACTCTTTACTTATTAAAAATCCAGCAATTCCCAACAAAAAATTCAATAAAAATGGAAAGTTTTCTTATCGCATTTCGCTTTTAAATAATAAATTATTAAAATTCTGAAAAGAAACAAAATTGCACTAAACCGTATTACAAAAGTAATTTAGATTTCTATAATAATAATTCTTGTTAATAGTGATAGTAATTATGTATACATATGTATGCAAAAAAGTATCTATCCCATTATAATTTAATTAAAAATTTAAGTAGGTGGTAGGTAGGTAGGTAGGTATACTATTTCACAAAATAAAAATTTAAATTAGAAAAATATATTTGTATAAAATATCAACAAACTTAAAAAATAAATAAAAAAATGTTTTTCTTAAAAAAAAAAAAAAAATAAATCTTTGAAAATTGATATCACTTCTTAAAATTATTTTTTTATCATAAAACCTATATGTCATGTTTTTTATCGCTTTTTTTTATAATTTTAATTTATTTTTTCCTTTAAAAATGTTCTTAATTCTATTACACCTAGTTTAATAATATAGCCAATTTTATAACACCTAAACAGTATGGATAATAATACTTAAAAATTTTGTGCTGAACGTCTTTTTTCCATAATAAGTTTGTTTTTTTTTTTTGTTTTTTTTTCTAATATAAATCTCATTGTGAATACCGAATAATATCAAAATTTTTTTTTTAAAAATTGCTTTCCTAATTATTCCTTTTTTTTTTAGTTTATAAACTTAAACTTTTTTAATTTATACAATTTAAATTGAGCATTATTTTATTTAATTATCATTGCTCCAATATTTTATTTTTATATTAACTTTTTACTTTGTAAACAATTAACAAAGTAAAATTGTGTTGCCACTATCGGTACCGGCCAATACCATTCTATTTAAAGGTAAAACAGCTAAACTTGTCATAACACCTTTAATTGTTTCAGATCTTAGTTTTGTAATGTTATAAGTAGAATCATGTGCATTTAAATCTGAATAAACTCCAATTCTATTTGCTGGTGTTCCAAAAACTAATTCAGATCCATTAGTACATAAGCAATGAGCTGGTTCAGGTGGTTGTCTAAAATGAATAATAAAGAGTATAGCATATATTAAAAAAAAAACATATAATAATGTAAAACAAACTTACTTTAAGTGATATTGTACATAATTTTCATTAACATTCCATACAGAAATACTGTAATCCAAGCAGCTACTTATAATCTGTTGATCATTAATTGCAATTAAATTTAATAATTCTCCTTCTGTTGCCTTCCATGATCGCAATATAACTCCGGTTCTAGCATCTAACAGGACAATGTTACCTGAAGACAATCCCACTCCAATCCAATTACCATTTGGACTACAAGCTAAACATCTAACAATACAACTTTGATTAAGAGTTACTTTCCATTCATTAACGTATTCTACTACTCTTGAATCGATTATACGAACTGAAGAATCTGCTGTACCAGCAATAACTAATGGACTTGGACTTGGATAAGTTCTCACTATACTGACAGGGCTATATCTTTGTGAATCTAAGACACCGATTGGACGACCAATAAATGGATCCCAAATATGAACACCAGAATCACAAGATATGACAAAACGCATTGCTTCTGAAAATGCCAATGAATGAACTGATTTTTTGTGACTATTATATGTGAATTGGCATGGTGTTATTTTAGTTCCGTCACCTTCACTTCTTAGAGACCATAGTTTTACTGTTTTATCTTTGGAGGCCGTCATAAAACTGTTTTCATTATCCAATGAGGTTATTGCTCTTACCGAATTCGTATGTCCCGAAAAAGTTTGTAATTTAATTTGTTTAATTGACAAATGATTGTCTTTTTCAGATCGGCTTATTTCATGTCTCCAATAAGCTAGCCAATTTCCTTTTAAATGACGAGTATTACTTATATTATCAAATTTATGAGCAACCATATCAAGAACCTCCATTGGACCGACTTCATTCTTTTCTGAACCTGCTTTGATAACTTCAATACGATTCCCAACAACAAACGTTCCAAAACTATGGGAACCATGAAACTCTTCTGAATTGCTGGTCTCATTATAAGAATTAACATTCCCGAAAGTATTTCGACTATTACCATAAATTTGTCGACGTTTCTGACGATCAATATCAGCTGAGTAATCTGGTTGTTCGAATTCGTGGCACAACGTCAAAATAAATTCCAAATTAATAATTGTTTTGTTCATTATTGACTCACCAAGATATCTTAAAAAAGCGAGATATGCAGAATGAGCTAAATTTGGACTGAAAACATCACGAATTTCTTCTAAGCCACGCTCATGCGTTTGTAATTCCATTTCATCCAAAGATTCATCAATATAATTTTTGTATGGAGAAATGCTAAATTGATTATCTTTAGTCTTATTTAAACTTTTAACATTATTTTCTACTAAAATTTGGTAGTTTTCCGTAATTCCATAAGCTTTATCAAAAATAAGAAAAAATTTTTGCAATACATTTGCGCATATACGTTCCTTAGACATTTCCGCTCCGATACGAACACATATAACATAAATTGAATCTAACAATTTACGAGCTAAAACCGATCTTCCTAAATATCCACTGGGCATTAAGCATTTCGTTGAACTAAGGAGGACTATAACAGGATTAACTATATTATCCAAAATAAGATCCTAAAATAAATAAAAGATAATACAAAGTTAATTATGAAGTCATACTATATAAATATTTAAAAATTTTAATGGTTTTAAAATGATGACATTAAGAATTAATTCAATACCCTTATAATTATTTTTACCTGCAAATGTTCCATAATAGCGCTGTCATTCAAACATGGAATTAAATACTTGAGCAGTTGCAACGAACTAATTAGCGCGCCTTCTAAACTGGCTGTTATTCTGGTGCGGCACAAAGCAATTAATTCGCTAACATGAGGTAAATACTGCAGTAAAATAAACTGATCCCCAAAAAGAGCTAAAATTAATTTTAATTTTTTTTACTTTTGAAATTTTTAATTAAATTTTTTTTATTTTTACCAGCTATTTGAGTAAGGCACTCTAAAACTCGAGCTGCGCAACGATCACCAACTACTTTTGCATCAACTACAGTAAAATAATTTAGGTTATTGCTGTCTTCACAATTTTTTGACGTTTCTGAAGGCGGTAATAAATTTTCTTGCCCAGTGTAACAAAGAGTTAGCATTCTTAACAAATTCCTTGTTAAATATTTTGATGTTAAAACTGGACCTAAACGATGTGATAGCCATATGATACTTTCAGTACTCATTTCAGATATTTTATTATCATGAGCTGATAAGAGTTCAGCTCTTTTTGAAATTACAGAAGCCTGTAAAGAATCTGTACCACTTTCATCATCAAGGTTATCTTGATCAATTTCATTACTTTCAGTATTATCTAAGTGATCTACATCTATTTTCTCCGAAGTATTAGAATTTACTGCAGGTGTCCCAAAATCAAAAGAATCTACACTTTTTTTGCTTCCGATTTCACAGTCTATAGTACTTAACTCATAAGTTCGACGGAATGTACTTGGTATAGGAATCGTTGGTGAAGTGGGACCTAAAGCATCTAGTTTCTGTGGACTATCTTTCTGACTATGTAAGGATATCTTATCATCATCAAAAGAGTTATTTGAAAGCCTTCCACCATATATTATATCATTAAGCGCTAATTTTTCTGCTGAGAATATGACATCTTCTGTGGCTTCTTCAGCTTTTGACGCCCCTAATGGCAAATCAAACGAATCTATAGAACGACTTTCGATGTTAGATTTATTGCTACGGGTATCACAATTTTCATCCATCATTATTTCAGATTCAAAAGCAAAAACATCTTCAACTTCGTTTTTTCCTAGTTGCTGTTGTTGCACTATTTGGGAAACTGGCGCCTGCATCGAATTTTCACAAATTGAAATAGTTGGATCGGATTTTAAATCAGAATGATCAGGTGAAATTAATGTTAGAGAATTATCAGAATTATCATCTGGATTAAAACTTAATTTCAAATGTTTTGTTGAACGAACACTTTGTACAAGTAATGGATTTATCTTATTGCTATGGTAATGATAACCCGTTGATTCAATTGGTTCTTTAAAGCCTCCTACAGCTTCTATCAATGGAGGGATGAAATTTTCGAGAAAACATTTTAAGCCAAAACGGACCATTAATCGCAAAAGAAAACTATGATGGTAAAGCTTTACAGATTTTCTTGCTTTAAAAGAAGAACTTGTTCGAAATCTTATTGAACTATTAGTAAAACTTCTGTTAAAGACTTCGGCACGATCTTCAGCTTCCGGATCATAAAGTTTTAATATGGGCTCCAAAAAGTATTTTTGAGTATCTTTGATTCCAAGAGCTGTAAATACCAAGTAAATTAACATTAACAAAGTATATATGTGCATACAATGATTTAATTATTAATTTTACCAGCCGATATAGGATCAAACAAGTTCCAAGCGGCTAGAATTGATGTTTCTTCAGCTTTAAGCATGTCTATAACAACCTGTAATAACAATTGGACCGGTACAAATTGTTCATAGGCAACCGGATCAAGTAATCCCTCTATTAATTTGCAGCATGATTTAACTTTACATTCAGCTATTTTTCTACTAACTATTATCCTTTTCTTGTCTAAATCTGCATATCGATCACAATTTTTGCCATCACAACTAAAGTGGGTGTAAATATCAAGTAATGTTGAATTGATATTGAAATTGTGCAGGCTTTTAAACAATAAATAGACTCTGTAATAATTAAATGGGAATGGTATGATTAAATTGCTCATGTAAGGCTCAAGAAGCATTGATGCTGTTGGTGTCGGTAAACCTTTTTCGTTAATCACTTGATCCGAATTTTCGTTTAATTTTAAAAATAATTTAACAGCGAAATGTAAGCTTTTTGGAATTTCAGAAATGAATTTTGATACTACAGCTTTACATGCCTTCAAGCGTTTTGTGAACGATATACTAGAACTATTCATAGTTAAAGGACGAAGTCGATTCATTAAGAAAAGTTCAACGATTATACATCCAATTATTTCGAGATCTTTTTCTTTTCTATCCTCAAAAATTTGTTTAAAATCTTTTTGACTACCCAAACTCATAACAAATGGTTTTCCATTTTTTGGTATTTTACTTGTGGCGCTTTCGAAACTTTCTGTAAACATTCTATTTGTATAAGAGTTATCAGAAGATTCTTCAAAAAGCATATCGTTTTGCTCCAATTTTTCTTCCTGATTTTTAGTTGCCTTTTGATCTAAAAACGTCTTTGAGAAAAATGTTTCCATATTTTCCAAACTATTAAGTAAAGACAAAGGGTTGTAACCCTTAGGTAAATGAACAGTATTTGATAAATTCTGGTAAGAACTTGCAGATCTTTCGATACCATGATTTATTTCTTCAGACAAATTTAAAGACGATCCTTGGTGGGTAGAAAACCTTTGCTGTGGATTTATTCTTCTATGAGGTGAAGGATCTCCTCGAAAATAACGTTGCTGGTTGGAGCTTTGGGAAGATGAACTTGAGGTAGTAGGCTTTGGTTCGTTCGTTGACATTGCTGCAAGGTTGTCAGTGCTTCGAGCTAACCTGCGTTTTTGCTGCTCCACAGTTAATAATCGAGGCGCCATTCTACCAAACCACTGAGACGGAAAACGTTTCGGAGGATGGGGATGATTAAACAGTTGCACAATGCCTCGTTGCGTCAGATTTTTATGGTTGTCAACGAGACTTAAACAAACATTTTTGGACTTAATTGCAGCTTTTCCAGACAGTTTATAGCTAAAAAATATAAATGATTTCAGGGTTTTTGATTAACTATTTTTTATTTATTTGACTAAAATATGTGAGAATGTGTATGCAAAAATAAACTTTATTGGTGTGTGTTATTACACCAATGTACTACCTGCAGTGTAAGTAAACTTACAATTTTCGCATTTTGAAAAATATTCAAAATATAACATACCCAAAATTCAAATCAATCCAATAATGTAAACGTTCAGATACATATTGACTTTCCAAAGCTTCCCGATGTTTGCTTATAAAATCTTCAGGACATGTTGCCCAAGGCGGTACTTCCAAGTCTGGTAAATCTTCGTGTATACTTTTGAAAACCATTGCATCAGAATAAAATTCTGGTATACCTACAATGTATAAAGTTTTTTAATATTGGAATAAAACTGAATTAAAAGAGAAAAACAAACATTCATCAGGAGTCCATTCCTGCAACCTTTGTATTGACACTGGATATTCAGCGGGGACCCATATTGGTCTCACATGCTGGCATAGCACATTTTGTGGTGTCCTTCTTGCCATGTAAACAAAATACGTAATTTCTGATAAAAAATCAGAAACATGATGAGGTACAGCATTTAAATTTAAACTTGAACCAGTTATAGTACTGCTACTGGCAGATCCATGTGCCTCTATTCCTCCAGCGATCGCAGACGCAGCTGCGAAAATTAAATCTAGATGTGCATCGCCTTTATTAATTCTGTATTTGCTCTTTGTTAAATCTCTCCAATTGGCTCCATTACGCTGATAAAAATCAGTCACCCATGGCATAATATGATGGTTCCCTGGTGAAGCAATTCTACGACCAGAAGCTTGATTTAGTATGGTTAAGTAATCAAAATTTGATAGCTGCCCGTTACACCACATTTCACAATATTCACGTAAAGAAAAATTATCTACATCATAAATAAATTTCAAATCGAACTTAAGACTTTCTTCTTGTGGGGAATCCATTAGTACCGATGATTCCATTTCAGCATCAAATTCAATTAAGTTCGATTCTAATTTAGGTATGATTTGCAGCCATAAATTCTCTTGTAAATAAATGTCATTCAGCTGTATATCACCTACAATTAAAGTTAATTTGAGATTTTTTCTTAAGGCATATCACATGTTTAAGCTTTTAATTTTTTTACCTAGCAAAATATTTTGATTATGTAAAGTTTTCAGCAATTGAAGAATTTGATATAAAATAAACATTGACTTATTATATGTATTGTTTAAAATAGCTGGACTGTATGTAATACAATCATAAAGAGTACATTCTACAGAAGGCGGATAAAAGATAAGAAGAAAAGATGTAGTTGTTTCAATAGCAACCAAAGCTGGCAATATATTTTCATGGCATTCATCCTCATTTTGTTGTTGTTCTTTATTTAAATACTGCTCAGTTATGGGCGTAGCTTTTATCCGATCTATTTTTGAATGAACAATGGGACATTGGAAAACCTTTTGTATGAGATCTTTCAGTAACACGTCATGCTGTATTAAATTATTATTCGTCTCTAAAGCAGTTCGCTTACAAGGTCCATTTTGATTTTGTTTTACATACTTAACATGAGAGTCTGTGTATTTTTTGTAGCCTAACTCCCATAGATTCTTATAATTTGTATATGAAACATAATTTAATATTTCAGAGTAATTCATTGGCAATAATAAATTTTCTTCATTGCGCGATTTTGGCAGTGGTAGAACTTTTTGATTACTTTTTTTATATATTTGTATAAACGTTTTTATCCATGGATGTCCGAGCTCAGGTAAAATTTTTCTTTCATTAGATTTATAAGTAGGAAAATCATAAATTTTTTTGTCCAATTTTAATAGTTTCAACCAATTTTTATTCACAGTTAACAAAAATCTATCAGAACTTAAAGTTTCTTTTAGATGCGCTTTCGGAATTCCTATTTCTTCACAAACTGTTTCCATTACTTTTAGTTTATTACTACGCTTCAGTTTGATAAAAAAAATTTGATATGAAAAATACAATTATGATTACAATTCGTGTTCATATACATACATAGATTATATAAATATATATTTTATATATTATATATCTATATATAAATATATAGGAGTGAGTGAATTGCACTTAATATTATAAAGCAGGTGGAATTATTGTTTCTACAATTTTCCACTTGCTAAGGTTAAAATGAAATAAATGAACACTTATTAAACAAATATTTGTAAATGTTCCCGTATAAAATATATTTGCTTTACATTTTAAATATTTATATAGCGATTATTTTAGCAATATTTACTACAACGAAAATTTTTAACAAAGAAATGCAAACACTTGCAAGAATAATACTAAACAGCTGGGTTATTTGACAATCATATGAACACTTTTTGATTTTGCTCTTAACTATTTGTTGTTTTCGTAAATTTCTTTTCAATTCACAATATTATTCTTGAAACATTAGTTCTGTCCAAGATTCATGTATGTAGATATGTATGTATAAGTTCATGCATGAAATGCATTTTAAATATGAAAACAAACTTCAAGGTAGAAATGTGATAGAGAAATAACAACCTTTTCCTCTCAATTTATTGGAACCGACTATAAAAAATTTAACATTTTAACATTTTTTCATTAAAATTGTTTTAAGAACAGTAACAACGGTTATCAATTTTAATTTTTGAAAAAAAAAAATCTTTTAAAATATCATTTGAATTGAGAATGAAATCTCCCAAAACAAATCATTCATATACAGAAAAAGACATGTCAAGAGTAGCATGTTATTCTAGAAAACATCATTGATAAAATTTAGATTTGTATCATGGTTACAGAAAGACAGGTTTGACCCCTAAGAGAGAATGACAATTCACAATTGACGAATTTACACGTATTCTTATAGAGGTTCTAGAATTTTCTTTTTAACATCATAAATCTCTCACGTAATATGTTATTTATAATATCAAATTTTATATGTTATAATTATAGCACATTGATAAAAGTTCAATAAGTAGCTACATACATTTGTATTAAGGTAACAATAAGGTAAGATAACAAGAAATTGAATCTGAAACTTTATACAAATATTATTGATTCTTAAATTTAGAAATAAAAATCCTTTTTGACATAATTTTTCAAATATAAAATATATTTATTTTTAAAATATTAATTTTTTAATTCAATTCTGCAAATGCTATCATTGATTTAATTTCATCTATAATTAAAAAATTATAAAAAAAAAACTCTTTTTGTAACACACTACAATTAACCAAATAAACATATTTCAACCCGATGACGTCAAATTTATTAAAAGTAGCAACTGCTGTCATCGAATATCCAGCAGACTTTTTAACAGTTTGTGCGATTTTCCAAGTTTTGAAAAATCATACAAAAATTATGAACAACAAAATTGATTCGCACAGCACCGTGCCATTTAATATAATACACAAGCTAACTTGTGTCCTTCTTAAAGTGGATTGCAAAAAATTATAAGAAATTTTTCGAAAACTTAAAATCATGTTGCAAACTTAATATTGACAAATCGGTTGAATGATTTTTATACATTTTTAAAAATGAAATTAAAAATTAATCTTGTAGATACTTTAAGAATAAAAAAATAAATTACCCAGCATTTACACATACAAGTTACTTGCATGCAAGTTTGTATAATATTAATTGTCAATTAGTTTTTCGAAATGTCAAATTACTTGCTATTATGACGTAGGCGTTTAGCAAGTTAATTTTTGAAAATGTCTTTGAGAAGAAAACAACTAGCAATATATATAATTGTTTATAAATTTTAGAAACCATAAGTTTGCTAAGTTTAATTTTTTCAAAACAAAATTCAAAAATTTTAAATTAAAAAAAAAAAAAATCAAAACAACAAATTTTTTTTTGTGAATTTCTCAATATGTCAAATTACTTGCTCAAATTACTGGCAGCAAAATTTTCTTGCAAGTTGAACTGCAAGTAAACAAGCAAGTAGAAATATTTCAATGTGTTAGTAAAATTTTTGTATGTATTGCAACTTTCTTGCAAGTAACTTGTACGTGTAAATGCTGGGTTAGGAAGCTTAAGTTAGAATTGTGCTAACTCACTTAACACAAGAGTCATTTTGAAAATTTTTGTATCTGTACTTTTGAATTTGACAGTAAGTTGTTGTTTCTGGTAATACTTTTTAAAATATCAGATTCAGTTCAAATTTTAAATTTGTTTGTAATTTAGCATTTATAACGTTTGAGGTTTCGAGCTGCGGTGTTAGTAGTGATTTTTTTTTCAAATAAGATAAATAAAAATCGTAAAATGGAATTTCACAAAAGCTTGTATAAAGTAAGTTTTGAAAACAACAGTCCAAAAAAGAAAAATAAGGCGCATTTAAAGGATGGGCGGCAAAACAGGAGAATTGAAAGATTTCAAGAAAATAGGATAATATCTTTGTCACCAGTAGAGTCCAAAAGTAGAAATGGAACGCCTAGGTCTGAAGAAGTTACAAATCCAAAAAAAAATAATAATAAAGAAAATGCAATAGTTAATGGTAATGCCGCAATATCGCGGCATGAAGCATATATAGCAAGATTTATTGCATGGAAAAAGGTATAAAAAGTGCTTTATTTTTGTAAATTATTACTAATTGACTTCTCTAACACAATGTTTTAGAAAAAAGAAATGGAGAAAAATCAGAAAGTTCAAAAAAAGCCACCTTTTGTGTCAGCATGTTTTAAAAACACTGTATGCTCTCAAGCCCAAAATTCATTTGCCCCAGAAAACTATAAATTTAAGGCACCCGCAAGTTTAGTTATTCCATCTAGCATCGAAAACTGTAAATATGTCATATGTAATTTAGAAAAACCCGAAAAAGCAAAAGTTGGTTCGCAAATTTCTACTATATCAGATGACAAAAATGGTTCTAACAAAAATTTCTCTAGAACTCCTAAATTGGTTCAAAAATCGAAAATAACAACTAATACTAATCAAGAAAGATCAGGTGCAAAGAAAAAAACTATCACTTTAAATTTGGAAAACCAGGTGAAATCAAAAAATGATGTTAAAAAAAATAATACGCCTACGATTCGAACTAAATCGGCGTTGGAAAATAATAGTGAAAATCAATCTGAGAAATACAAAATATTAAAAGTTGCAGATAAACCTAAGCCAGGAAGTTTTGTAAAGTTGCCAAAACCTGCAAAAATATTGCCTTTAGAGACTGAAAGTACTAAAAAAGATGTAACAAAATTTAAATCTCCGAAAGTTGCAAAAAATATACTGGTATCCAACACTTTAAAGAAAGAAAAAGATAATAATGAAAAACAGTTTAAAGGGAATTTAGGAAAAACTAAAAAATCAGTGTTAATAAATAGCCCGGTAAAAACTGAAAAACAAGTGTTGAAAAAACCATTTATCGCACAAAAAACTCCGCGCAGAAATCCATCGTATTTGAAACGGGGAACTAAAACTAACACAAAAAACATTAATTCTAATAACAATTTTGAAACTAAGCAAGCAAAGATTAAGGAGGTTAAGGGGAAGAAGAACCTAAATATTCAACCGACAAAATTAATGTTTTTTAAAAAACCTGAAATTGTTCTGTGTCAAGAAACTCCTGTTGAAAATCCTGAAAAATCAAATTCTTTTATAACATCTACACAAAGAAAAGAATCCGGAAACTGTGGTACAATTTTACCGGCTCATGTAAACGAAGCAAATATAAGTAATATCAAACCTGAAGATAATGAAAATATTAAAAATCCTTTGCCATTAGTAAATTTGTTTCAAGAGTCACATATGAAGAACGAAAATGGGAAAGAAAGTGAAATCTTGGCTACTCCTTTGGATACTTCAAAATCAAATATATTAGATAAAACTCCAATAAATACTACCACTAATGAAGAACCAATAATCTATACAAGTCCATATGTAACTATGGGTCGCGGTAAAGGTAGCGGCAAAAAAGAGAAAAAATTACGTGAAAGTATATACACTACTGAAGAGTCTAACAATGGAATTATGTCAGCAGAACTACGACGTGCAAAAGAGACGGCGAAATATTTCCGAAAAATGTTAAAAGACGAAATTGATCGTTTACATAGCCGTTGTGATGAGTGGTTAGAATATGTTAAAAACACAGATCCAGTTATTCTTGAAGATTGCGGTAATGATATGATAAATGTCACAATAGGACAAACTAAATTATTGACTAGTAAGAAATTTAATCAATTTAAGAATTTGATTGAACAATGTGAGCAATTCGCAGAAGTAAAATATAATTTAAAGAAAAATAATGATGAAAATCAAAAACCTATATTACCAGAAGATTTAGAAGGATTTTGGCAAATGATGTATATTCAAGTAGATGATATTGATAAAAGATTTAATAAGTTAGAATGTTGGAGATCAAATAATTGGAAGGACCCTGATGAGGTTCATATTGAAGAAAAATTGAAAAAAAAAAGTAAATTATTGACAAAAGTGACAAAAAAGAAACCTCAAGGCAGCAATCCAGTTTTGCGCAAATATTTGAAAGAAATGTACATAGCTTGTTTGCAAAACAAAAAACAAGAGTTAGAAGAAAATAATGACATTATCATAACGACACCATCTAAAAAATCAAGGAGATCTTCAAATATAAATGAAAATAAAGTTGAAACGCCATCTCTTCGTAGAAGTAAACGAATTTCTTCTATAAAAGAAGTTGTAGTTAAACCGGCAACACCAACCAGAAAATCATTAAGAATAGAGAGTGTTATTAACAATGCTTCAAAATTCCTAGAAAATAATCCAGGTTCACCTAAAAATGGTGTTCGTTTAATTAGCTTAGTTAAAACACCTTGTCTCGGCTGTCCAAGTACTATAACATGCTCTCCCAAACCAAATAAATCAATATTAAAAACACCGGGAACACAGAAACGAAGGCAAACTGTTATTTTTAGTGAGCATTTACAATATAAAAGCCCAGATAAATCATTTGATTCAGAAAAAAGAAAAAGACGACGTTCATCTTCAGCAAAAAAGAGTTTATCTGGCAGTTCTGATAAAAAAGAAAGAAGAAAATCTCTGAATCTTCGAACTAGAAGATTATTTTTGGACCCAGAAGCAAAAATTGAAATCCCAAAACAATAATATTTTTAAAATTAACTTAAATTTTTTCATATAACGAATTTTTTGTTATTTTTTTTTTAATTTTTAATTTTTAGCATTTCTAAAACGATTTTTTTTTCTTTAATATTTTGTACTAGGTTAATTTTCATAAAATTTTTACCTAATGGTTTCTATAAAAATGTAAGTATTTCTAAATAATGTATGTGTATGGACTTTAAAATAATTAATAAAACACTTCTTTATTGCCAATATTCAAACTTTAATTTTAAAAACTGTATGAAAAATATAAGATAATATCTATTAATATGAGAATTATTATATTATAAATCATTATATTGTATAATCATAATTATTACATCTTAAAATTTGAAATATCGTTTCGAGGTTTGCAGCATTAATTTTTTATACTCTTAAGTATTTTTTTTTTTAAAAATAAATTTGCATGCATGCAAAATACATTTTTAAAGGTAATAAATTTTTTTATAAAAATATAAAATTTGTTTGTTGAATTATTAAAATTTTCAGAAAAAATATAATAAATTATTTTGAGGCACCTAATTTTGCGTAGCAATTAAATTTCGCGCAACGTTACAAATATACATATTGTACACTTACCCTTTCCTTTTCTGAGAATTTTTGATGATTCAATTCTAACTTAGATCTTAATATAAAGCACATTCGATAAATCCAAGCTGCCATATCCGCCAATTAAGATGTTCGAAAATACAAGTTTTTTTACAACTACTGCAAATAGAAGATATAAGATAGAAATAGCATAATAGAAAAATGTCAAATATTCGAAAAGTACTCTAGTATGTTACAAATTAAAAAGTAAAATATGCAGTTTCTGCAGATTTGTAATTCACGTATGTAATTTGTATTTGATATATGTGTGAAAAGTGTTTTAAGATTTAATTTAGAATTTTCAGTGCATGTCTGAATTTTCGAATATATCCATCTTACACCATTATACACTTATATTTACATACATGAAAAAAAAAATGAATGTGAGGAGCCATTGTATTTTTAATATTTTTTGAAAAATTGAAAAAATTATTTAAATTTTTAAGTAGTAATTGTACATATACAAAACGTAACATACAAATTATTTTATTGTGTTTAATAAAACTTTTAATTTTAATTTTCCAATAATAATGGCTGAAAGAGCTGAGGATAACGACGAACCAAAAAAATGTAACTATAATAGAAACTTAAATTTTGTTTTAGATTATAAACGCCTCTACAACGTACATTATATTTAATTTACATAATATATATTATTTAGTTTATTGTAGACAAAGAATAGTTTTAGCCGTAATGGGATTTAATTGCATAATGACTGCATATATATTGCGCCAATGCTTAGGTGTTACTCTAACAAAAATGGTTCCATCAAAATTAGAATCGGAAAATATGAAAAATATAAAATTTTATAATGATTTCGAATTTAATAAAACAATAACAACCAGCTATGCCAATTTTATTAGAAATTCTAATAATTATTTAAAATATGTTGCTGAATATGTACGTAAAGATTTTAATTATAATTATATAAATCGATTTTGATGTCATAATTTACCAAATTAAATATTGTTGATTTTTTCAGATAATAAGTACATATATTACATTGATTTCACATACATATCTTTTGTAAACTCAACATATTAAATATATTTTAATAATTTTTTTTTTAAATTCTTTCAAATTTCAACTTAAAAGAATGATAAAGAAGATCTTTTCAATTGGAATGAATTTCAGCAAGGAAATATTTTGTCAGCATTTTTTTTCGGTTATGTAATAACTCATCTGCCAGGTGCAATATTGTGTGAAAAATTTGGTGGTAAAATAATTTTAATAATAGCTATGCTTGTATGTTCAATATCAAGTATTATAACACCACTGGTTACATTATATGGTGGATATATTGCATTGTGTGCAACACGTGTAATACAAGGATTGGGACAAGGAGTAGTGTACCCGGGTTTATCATTTTTGTTATCAAAATGGATACCTAAAAAAGAAAGAGGTCGTTATGGAGCTTTTGTTTATGGTGGTGGTCAATTTGGTTCAATATTCGCTAATATTGCATGCGGTTTTATATTAAATTACATGTCATGGCAATCATCATTTTATTTTTCCGGCATCTTGAGCATAATATGGGTTGTTATGTTTGTAAGTTAACGTTTTTTTTTTTTTTTGAAAATTGAGGCGAGTAGGTACATATAATATTTTTATGTAGCAATTAAATTTATGCAATATTTTTTTTTTTTGTAATTTTCTGTTATACAAAGTTCTTTCTCTGTTCGAATGATCCGAATTCACATCCATATATTAATAAAATTGAAAAAGATTATTTATTGGCTGAAATGGGCACACTGGAAATGAATAAAAATTTACCAACAACACCATGGAAATATATATTTCAAAGTTTACCTGTATGGTCTTTGATTATTGGTCAAATGGGATATGATTGGGGTTTTTATATAATGGCAACCGATTTACCAAAATATTTTAGTGATGTTTTAAATTTATCAATAGTTGATAATGGAATATATAATGCACTTCCATTTTTACTTATGTGGATTGTATCAATATTTGCTGGAATATTAGCTGATATTATGTTTATAAAAAATATTATGAATTTGACGAATATACGGAAATTTTTTACAATTATTAGTGAGAACATTATATATTATTAATTTTATTTAAATAAAGTAATTTCAAATAATTGTTATTATATAATATGTATTTTGTTTTTCAATAAAGGTTTTATGATACCCTGCTTTTTTATGGTTGCAGCCGGATATGCAACAAATAAATATATAATTGTAATATATTTTACAATTTGTTTAGGAATAATGGGATCATATTATGGTGGTATTAAATTAAATTCTTTGGATTTTTCACCAAATTATGCTCCAACATTAATGGCTTTAGCAAATGGTTTTGGTGCTATTATGGGATTTGTAGTACCAAATATTATTGGAGTTATAGTAAAAAATGTAAGAATGATACTCGATGCATTATAGTATTCTAAAAATTATTAACAAAAATATTTTTTATAATATTAATTTTTATTACATTTCGTATTTTTTTTTTTTTTAGGCGACACGTGAAGAATGGCAAATTGTTTTTTGGCTAACAATGGCTGTTCGAGGTTTTTGTAGTATCATATATGGAATTTGGGGTTCTGGAGAAATACAGCCTTGGAATGAACCAGATAATATGCAAAACTATTTGGAGCAAAAGCAAATGGAAAAACAAAAGAAGAGGCAATTAAAGGAAAATGAAAAAAATTGAACAAAAATTATGTAAAATGCAACCAAATGGACATGTTATAGTTTATTGGTTGCTAATAAGAAGACTAAATTTAAATTTCTATTCTTGAAAACTTAAAAAATTTTAATTTATCTAGTTCAATTATTTTAAGAATATGCAAGAATTTTATTTATTGTAATACTCTTAAAATGTACTATGTAGAGTTTTAAAAGCCTTCTTTTTAATTATAAAGAAAATTTCTTGGTAATATACAAAATTTTAAATTATTTAAACCTAAATTAATCATATACATTAATATTTATAAAAAAACATATATATAATTTATTAAAATATGATAGTGTATAACAGTATTTCCTATTAATTTAGTATAATTTTCCTTTCCTGAAACTAATAACACTTGTGTATCATATTAGTTGTTGTTCAGAATAATTAAAATATTCACATTCAAATTCCTATTGTATTTTTAACCATTTTTTTTTCATTTTTATTTTTGTTTCTTTTTTTTGCAACAATCGTAACTAGAATTCAATTATTTAAATTAACTAAAATTAAAAATAAATATTAATTGAATTAATATAAATGGACAGTAAATAAACGGAAATTAAAATAATCAAGGACGATGCGTTTAAACAGCTGCGTTATTGTAGTTGAAGTAATTGAGAAAACAAAATACTTCATGTTCATGTACCTTCATTTAATGAATTAAATTAAAAAAAAAATATTTTTATAAAATAAGAAAAATACTTTTTGAAAATTTTAATTTTTAATTATAATTTGTATAATATTACATATATACAAATATATATGGTGTGTAATTCAGTAAAACAAATAAATTTCGACAGTTCACTGCTCCCCCAAGAAAAATAAAATGAAAAATAAAAAGTTGAAAAAGAATTTTAATTTTCATTGCACGTAATAAATATTTTCTTAAATTTTGTTTTTTTTTTTTTGTTTTCTTTGGCCTTCTTTTTTGGAACATAAGCATGTGTGTCATCTACTTACTTTTAGTTTTAATATTTTACTTTTACTAATGCAAAACTTGAAATATTTTCATAGTAATTTTGAATTTCCATGGTGTTATAAATTTGACTATCTGTTTTTGCTAACGAAATTTTTGCTATTAAAAAAAATATTTTACTTTTTGACGTAACTACTACTACAGAACTTTTGACACCATCTAATTCATAAATAATTATTGGTGACGCAGACCGGTATAGGTCGATTTTTTTTAAGCTTCGAGATCAGATTTTAATTATTGTTCCAGAAAATACATACATAATTAATATTTACATTAATTTGTATTTTTTGACAATACGTGACGTGAACTATTGGATAAATCAAAAATTTTAAATTATAAAAAATTTAGAATTCTTAAATATTGCTATTTATTTCCGTAACCGTGTTATCGAAAACCAGTATATTTGTGTATATTTTTAATGTTTTACTTTTAAATCTTATAAAAATTCAATAAATAATTGTAATTAAAATTATAACAATAATATGTGTAGCTATTTTCCTTCTTGTCCAATTACGTAATATTATTTTTAGGCTTCAGGCTTTTTCAATATTTTCGTCAAAGTCAAAAGAAAAAAAAAATTAAAGTAAACAAACGATTTGTTTACTTTGCAAATAATTTTCTAGGTCATTAACTGATGAAAGAAAAAAACTAATAAAATGAACCAAATACTAATAATAATATGTACATATGTGAAGAAAAAATTATAAAAAAGAAATAAAGGTACATACCTACAAATCATTTCAAATACTTTAAATTTGACACTTTAAATGTCAAATACCGTTAAACTTGAACTACTGTTGAATATTGCTTTGTTTTTTTCATCTTTCTCTTACAAAAAAATAAATAAGGAATTTTACACACGTATTTTGATGTGTACTTAGGTATTTGGTTTATTTTACATGTTTTTTACAACACATTTATATGTTTATACAACAACTTATATCCATACATATATTGTTATGTAATAAAATTTAGAAATTATAAAGTAATTATTTGTACTACACCTAAGCAAGTATATAATATTGCAGTAAGCAGATTTGTGAATATTTAGTGAAAGTAAGTATATATTTTGTACTCTTAATTTGAAAATGTATTGTATTAAAAAAAAATAATAAATTACACTGAAAAATTATAAAAATTTTTAAACGCATTTTTTAAACTAGGATTAACCTAAGATGAGAGCAATCTCAAATGGCATATTTTGAAATAAAATAAATAAATAAATAAACTGAATGAACCAAAAGATAGGCAAATGCGAGATAGGCGATTTTTATGATAATTGACATCTCTTATTCTGATGAAATAAAACTTAATTTCAATATTCTATACTATTAACAATGACGTTTAGTTGATTTTGCATTTTAGTGCTAAATAAAGATAATTCTTATAGAGGTAGGTGAATAATTAATTATTTAATTGTAATCGATATAAAAAATATTTGATTCATTACATAAGTAAATTTTATGTGATGACGAAACAAGGAAAATGTAATTATTATTGATGATGAAAGGAAATTTTAAGCATATGTTTTCAATAATTTATTATTTTTAATTTTTGTTAACATTGATCTATACGAAATTGAAGTTTTCTTAGAAAATCAATTTAAAAGAATTTATAGAAACTTATAAAAACTATGATATGTATTTCGGGCATGGCTGGTTGATTTTGATGAATTAAAATTAGAAAATTATTTACTAAAGCAACTATGAAATTGGAAAAGTTAAATTATGCAATGATAATTAAATAAAATAATTATAATTCTATTATATTTTTAACTGTGTTATATATCATAAATTTCTTTCTTAAATTAAAATTCATTGTAATGTAATCGATTTTATATTTAATAAATATCGATGTTTCCGTTAAGTTGAATCAAAAATTACATCAAAATATATTTTATTTATTTAAAATTTACTTTTATGAAAATTTTTAAATTAAATTTTTCCTCTAGAATAAATTAAATTAAACAGTAAGTTGAAATTTTAATAATATATTTTGCAAAATACAAATTTCAACAACAACAATTCAACAATCTACTTTGCATAATACAAAATCTATTTAATCTACTATTAAATCCAATTAAATCCAAAAAGAATTATTATAACTTTACTAGAATATATTAAATTGCACATGGATTAATTTTAATAATTTGTATAATTAAATAGAAATTAAATAAAATTATTATCAACAATAAATAATAAAATAACATAAAAAACTGGTGAAAACCCTAACTGTTTTTATAAGCGTATGGTTCTTTTTAAATTTTTATTTTATTGATGAATTAAAATAAGAATTTTAAATAAGTACAACAATAATTATATATTATATATTTTGACGTCAAAATAAAAAAAAAAATATTCATAACGATATCATTTAATTGTAATCAGTTTATAGTTATGTCGATTATGTGCTCGAAATATTAAAATATTTTTTGGACATAAGCAAACGATACAATTAAATTCGGCAATTAAATACATTCATAGGTAGATATGAATTTGTGGTACTTTAAAATTCAGATTAGTTCGAAATTAAAATTATGGTATGCCTATAAATTTAATGTTGACAACGTGTAAAAAATATTTTGGATTAGTTGGAACTATTCATCAGAACGTTATTATTTTATTAATGTTTAATAAAAAAAAAAAATTAGTTTGAAAAAAATATAATATGTTCATATGTATGTATACATTATGTACATTTTGTAATTTTTAATATATTATATTATTATAAAATAAACAATACGAACAAATCGACATTATTTGACATCATGAATTAATTTTTTATAGTTAATTTTAATATAATAATAAATTTGCATGCCAAATTTATTAAACACCTATACCGGCAATGGGAATAATTTAAATTCATAGATATACAATAATTATATTATATATATATATAATTATGTGTACTTATAAAACTTACAAAAAAAAAATTATTTTATTGTAAATAATAAGCAGTATAAATCCAAAAATGCACTTACAATTGCACCATTTAATAAAATGATTCATAATGTAAATTGAATCATGTATAACAAACACATCGATGTACTTGTATGTACGGATATACTTGCCATCTCTATAATAATTCAAATGAAGTGAGAAAATAAAAAAATATGATAATAAACTGACAATTGTTACGGACATTTTATCAAAATGTAAATTAATTTTTTTATAATTGAAATAAAGTAGTTATAAAATTATATCTATAGAAAAGTTACAAGATGCCATATTTGTAAATTGCAATGATTAAACTTGCCATATAATTTTTCTTCATTTAACTAATTTTTTTTTTAATTTTAGCAATATTGAACAACGTGTGCCACACATTATGCGCTTTGATCACTCGGGTTAGCAGATAATTACACAACTTAGCAATATTAGCAATCATAGACTGAAGAATGGATTAATACCTATCGAATTGTTACAAATTGTCGATCGAAAGATGCTATTATAACTTCTATACCAGGAAAAGTACAATTTCATCTAATCGGAAAATGTAATGCTCGACTGACTAGAATACTTTGTGTATCATATAAAAATTATTAGTTTTTGCACATTTTTTTTTAATAATTTAATTTAAATCATTTATGTATCAAATTTAAATCATTTATGTATAATCTAAAAGGATAAAATTTAATTAACATTTCTGCAAGTCATAAAAATTTCAATGTAATCTTTTTACTATATACATATGACGTACTAAATTCTACAAAATTTGACCGATATTCTTGTCTGAAATACTACTAAAATAAAAGTAATTTTAATTTTATCTGCGTGTTTATTGTAAACAATATAATATAATTTGCTTTACTTATAAGATTAAGTTTAAATAACAATGCGTTTTTAAAGTATCGTATATATATGTATAGTTTTTCTTAAATCAGACGATAAATAAATCATAAAATATTATATAAAATAATAATTTAACAAATATATATATATATATACAAATTAATTAATTAATTATATTATAAATTATTGCATATTGTTATTTATTAGATACACTATGGATATTGTCATTGTATTTCAAGAATATCTTTACGATTTTTATTACAACCTCATAAATGTATGTATAGTTTATTACCATTTTGTTTTTTATACAAAATATTTACACAATTTAAAATATAGATTAAAATAAAATGATAAAAAACAAATGTAAAGGTTTTAAAATTTCCCAATTAATTATGCCATTTTGTGTAATACACGAAAGTTCAAGTAATTTTCAAGTATTCAAGGTAACCATATCAGTTATGGTCACTCTTAATTTGTTATCTATATAAGAATAAGATTATATATTTTCTAATATAAATCATTTTTCCATTGACGTTGTTAGACAATTTCGTCCTTTTATATCTGAAATGTAAAGTAGTTGGAAAAAAGAAATTAAAATTAAAAATTATTATTCATTAATTTAAAATGTAGTTTTGATAGTTTTTATTTTGTACAAAAATACTTGGTATTTTTTGGCTATAAACTGATGTACTGTATATATGATAATAAATTTTATTTTCCTTAATATTTTTAGGTTAATTGTCAATGTGAACATTTTTCAATATGACTCATAATTACATAAGAAGAACATTTTAACTCATTCATCTAAGAAGGGAGACATGAAAACTTTCAAATATAATTTGCTACTTATTGCGGCACAATTAAACATATAAGTTGTATCACATTATATAAGTTCTTAAATTTTAAGGGAAGATAGTTCTAAAATATTAAAAAATAAAATGATAAATAAAAAATAAATGTAATTGTAAAAATGTTCAAAATTATCAAATACAAATCCTTTTTTTTCCCCATATTAATAAAATGAAGAACTTGTAAAATAATTTTAAATTCAAGTTCTTCTCAGAAAGATTTTATTTTCACTTAATGTCCATCATTTTTTTTTTTTATTATTTAAGTATAATTGAACTCAAAATATCAATTATAAAATTTTAAAACAAACACATTTTCAATTTTTAATCTTAACAATTGCCAATTAATTATTAAAAGCGATTAAAAAAGATTAACTTTGAAAAAAAATACGAGATAGAATTTAATCAACTAAATGTTTCATATTTATAATAACAACAAGTTAAATTACAAATTATACATACTGACCCTCTTATGATAAGTAATCTTAAGATATTTTGTTAATATAATATAAAATATGTTATCCTTATTTAAAATCTAATCTATAATTTTAAAACAATTTATAATATAAACGATTTTAAATTTTATAAATTTTATATTAAATAATATAATTAAATGCTAGGTAATATTCAAAATTTCTCTTGGTATATAAACAGATGAACTGCCATCTATTTTTTTTTTATTCTGAGTAAAATTCATTTAAAAATAAATGTCTAGGATACACTAATCTAGGATTAAGTGTAACGGATAGCATGTTATATGAAAAGTGTTATACTACAAATTTTATACATATGTGAGAAAAATCTAACCAAGTAAATTTTTCTATTACTTCATTTATATGTTGTAAAGATATACAGACCAGCTCGAAATATGCTTAACTATGAAATTAGAACGAAAGCGGTGAGCGACAACATCAGTATTGATTTTCGTTGTTAACCAAGATCAGGACCGGAACGGTAAAATCAATTGAGCAATATTTTGCATAAACTGAATAACTATGTATAACACTAAATAACTTTCACTTTAAATTGATAATAAAATTATTATGTATGCTAATTCTTTATTTTACTCGGAAATATTTTCATCTTCGAAGAATAACATTAAAAATTCTATAATTAAAAATTCTTAAAATCTATTCTACGAAGATCAAATAAACATTAAATTTTCGTCATAAAAATAATTTATCTACATATATATATATAATATTTTAAACCTATCTTGCTATTGAACCAAAAAAGAGTGCGTTCCAAAAATATAAATAAAAATATCAAAATAAAAACTTGTTATAAAAATAGAAAATAAACAAAATTTCTTCTTTATTAGCTTAAATAATTTTAATATCAGAATGAAAAAGCTTTCATTTTAAATTAAAAAAAAATAATTATAAATGATGAATTAATTAATAAATAAAATAATTACCATAATATATAAAAGAAAAATTTATTTTTTTATTAATTATTTGTCAATTGTTTTAATAATTAAAATTTTATTGTACGCAGATGTGAAATTTTTCATTTTACAAATAATATATGAAAACGTACGACTTTATTTACATTTTGCTTAGTAAATTTTAATGAATTCTTAATTTTGAAAAAAAAAAAATTATTTTAGACAATCTGTACGAGCTTAACATTATTATACAAAAGAAGTAATAATAAACCTTATTTTCTTATATTATTAAGCATGTACTCAACATATATGTATATGTATATTTATGTTTGCTATTTATAAATTAATACTGTTCCTATTAATAGGTTCAAAACTCAAAAATATAAAAAATAAAAGGCTCTATTTCATAAGAATTTTTATTAGTATATATACAACAAATTTAATGAACAAAAAATTTTTTTTTTTTTTTGGAAATTTTTTCAGAATTATACAAATACGTATAATTATGACAGCATGTGGTTGCAAATGTAAATAATCAAAAATTAAATTAGAAAATATTTTAATATTGTAATATATTACTTAAGTATATTAAAAGAATTCATTCAACAGAAAATTAATCCTATAAATCCAATAAAATTAATTCAATTAATTAAGATCGAAACTTAAAAAAATTTCTGAAATTCAAGTAATTCTAAAATATAAATATATATTAAATTTCAATTCAAACTATATTCGCAGAATTCTAAATTGAATGAGTATATTCAATTTAGCTAGGATATAACACCAAGAAGAAAACACATTATTTCAAAACTCATAAACCATACAAATATACGCATATATATATATTTGTTTGAAGTCTTTGCTGATTTGGCTCTTTGCACCTCAAAAGTTTCTCAAATATATCCGAATGGTGGATCTCGAACGGGAGGAGGCGCAATTGATCCTTACACGTGGTCTCGGTGCGCTATTACCCCGGTTTTACAAATCTACAAATCTACAATCTAGCTATATCTATATCAATAAATCTTTATTTTTTATAGATATAATTTCAATAATAATAATACTGCAGTCAACCCTTTATAGTCTATACGTTTAACACAGATTTGAGAATAAAGGCAGCAAGCATGACTAAAGATGTTATGTAATTATTTTTAGCTCATGCAAAAATACGTCAATTTAACAAAATAACATGCGTAATCAGTTTAATCTAGCGAATTCCCTTCAAAATAAATTTGCTTTTCTATACTAATATCGATAGTTTCCTTAAATACACTTAAATAATTATCAAAACGTTAAAAATTTGAAGAGCTCTATAAGATTTTTATTCTAGAACATTTTCTGTTTTTTTTTTTTTAAAATTAATCATGCTGGGTCTCAGTTATTGAAAAAATTTCTTTCGTTGTACTACATATGTATAATTATTTATATACTCAGCTCAATAAGATTTTTGCGGTTTAGATGTTAAAAATTAAGTGATTTTAACTAGCAATTTATTTAATAATTCTATATCAGTTTAATGGAAGTTACACACTTACATTCTTTCTGAATGAATTTTCATACTTCTTTTTTTTTTTTTGTTTTCTTTTGAATTCACACCATATTTATACCCTAATCGCATTTATCTAACACAATAAACACAAAAAAAAAACACAAATTAAAAAAAATAACCTAAACGAAAATTTTAACTATGTTTAAGTATAAAACAAAAAAAAAAAATTAAAATACACAAAAAAATTTACCAGGTAAAAAAACTTAACAGAAAAAAAAAACAAATAAATCACCTAAAAACAAAAAAAAAAAGAGATAAAAATAACGAAAGGTATAAAAGTGAAATAGTCAAAAAATTTTACTCTCATTTCTTTTCTATTCGTCGTACCGAATTACACAGAACAGTAACAAGAAAAAAAAATAATAAAAAAAAACATTTGAAATTGTGCAATATTCGTTAAGTTTTTTGATTTTTTTTTTGTAACGGATAAATTAAAGAAGTTTCGTTAAATTTTTATTTTTTTTCATTTTATTCTAAAAAATCGTTTTTGTATTTTAATTTTATTAATTTATTATGAATAATTAATTTTAATTTACTAAAAATTTTTTATAAAAACCCGAAAAAAATTTTTTTGTTGATTTTTTAAATTAAAATTAAAAATTATTATAAAGTGACAAATAATAAAAGAATTATAAGAATTTAAATCCTAAGTGATTGTATATAAAAAATCAAAATTATTAATAAAAAAGGATTACGACAAATATTTCGTTAAGAATAATATTTTTGTGAATTAAAACTAAAATTATTTTTGGTACTTAAAATTGAACAATATGTTAACTGGTTGGAAATTACTTTTATCAAAATGTGAGTAAATTTTTATTATTATACATATTTTATAGCCAAGTAATTATGATCATATAAAATATACGAACGTACATTTTAAATTATTCTTGAAAATTTTAACGAAAGTTCAAAATTATTTTAATACTTTTTGTGCATTTTTTTGTTTTTTGTATAAAATTTCATATAAACATTTAAAAATTATAAAATAAAATATTGATAACTTTTATAATATAAACATTTTATAAAATATTTATAAACTTAACGAAACATTATAATAAATGTTATATGAATAATATGTTTTAAATATTTATTAGTGTAAAATATTCTAAAATAGTGTATATATTTATAAGATAATCTAATTTTAATTTAAATAATTTATTGTTATATTAGAATTGAATTCGATTTTAATTAGAATTTAAACGAAATTCAAAATTTAAGTGCATAATAAGAAATTATTTCATATAAGTACTCGTATAAGTAAGTTCTAAAATTGTAATTTGATTTACAATAAAATTGCTTTTAATAATTTTGAAAATAATTTTCAAAAAATATTTTTAATTTTTTGAAAACTATTATAATATTGAATAATTTTCTGAAATTTACTATGATTGAAAATTTTTGGAAACTATTTATTATAAGTGATTTTTATAGAATGCATAAACTATGTACATATACATATGAGTATAAAAATTCTAATTATATAAAAAAAAATAAATTTACTAATTCGATTCAATTTAATAGAAAATCAATTTTATTTGGCAATATACAGTCTGTGTTTTCCAAAATAAGGGTGTATTTCAGAAAATGCTATCTGTATAGTCTATATATGATTAGAATGTAGTTTTATATAATATATCGTATAGTTTTTAAAGTATATAATGAATTAGAGGTAAATATATTTTGTAATTCCAAAACGAAATTGTTTGCCGCAATATGGATACCTTAGAACAAAGCTGAATTTTTATATTTAGAAATCGAAATTTTGTAGATTTTGGATATATTCTTCTTCTTATTATTATTCTTCTGTATATATTTATATTCTTCTGTAACGCTGTCATAATTTTCTAAATGAACTGTATTTTTAAATTATATAAGGAACAGTGTTGGAATATTTCGTAATCTAGTATAAGGAATAGAATTGGAATGTTTCGTATTGAATTTAAAAAATTCCGAAAATTTAATTATTTTCGAATTTCGAACTTCCCAAAAAAATCTGAATAATAAAATGTTTTTTACTTGAATTTTTCATATAATTTTTAATCTAATCATTATTAAATTTCGTAAAATTACAATATACATTTAAAAATGTTCCATGGTCTTCGTGAACATTAGCCTTCCACAATAAAAATTTATTTTTTTTACATTAAAGCAATAAAATATTTTCTATTGTTTATTTGTTTACAGGGGCTTATTATAGTGCAAGAATAATATGGTGCATAAAAAATTTAATTATAGGCATAAATTATAAAAAAAATAATTTCCGGTTTATTTAGAAAGGTAGAAAAATTATATGTACCTCTTTTAAAGAACAAAAAAAAAAGAAAAAACCCAAGGAAATTCGGAAACATTTTTAATTTCCAAATTGCGATTTGCAATATGATTTTTAAGTAGATTTATTTTGCGTCATTGAAAATAATATAATTTCGCGAAAAACAGAAGAATAGGAAAATAAAAATAAAATAAAGAATAAAAAATTTGTTTTTTTTTTGTTTTTCCGAAAATTAATTGTGTATTAAATAACTTTAAGTATATTAATTATTATAAAATATACGCTATAAATTCTTGGTCATTTTAAAAATATCACTTAGTTTTTCTTATCTTTATTGTATATTATATAGACATAAAAGTATATCAAACTATAGACATAATTTTTTTTTGAGTATACATTTTTCAAGGATCTCATTGCAAAGCCCCTGAATACGTGCGTATTAAGTTCGTAATATTTTATTATACCTTTCTATATATTATTTACAGGAATTTAGAGGGTTGTTAATTGGAATTAAATTGAAATTTTTTTAGAATTTTATTAAATATTTTATATTAGGATTTTAATATTAAATATTTAGAAAATAAATGTGTTCATAAATTATAATTGACATTAAACGGGAAAATGTCCAATAATTTTTGATAATGATTTGAAATTTAAATATACTTGAACTCCGAAAACAATTGAGTTACAAAATTTTGTATAATAACAGTAAAATTTACCTATACTTGAACTGCGAACAGAAGTGAGTTATAAAATTCAGTTCTACAAATATTTCATAAAATTATGTGAGAACATAAAATCACTCTTATACTAGCTAACCTTTAATATCTATTCAAATTTATTTAATAATTAATAATTTTACTTTAATTACAATATAATTTAACAAAAATTTTTGAATTGTGTTGGTGATTACTCGACCAAAATATGTGAGTAAAATATGTTATAAAATAAAATTTTGATTATATGAATTTTCACTTATACAATTATTATTATGTTTGCATATTTTACGCCAAAAATTTGAAATTGTTGAGAAAATAAAATAAAAATATTTTCTTTTCATTTTGTTTTAGGAAATTTAAAGATAAATCATTACTATTATACTATATAATTAATATATTTTTATCATTTGCATCAGTTTCAACATAATTTTCATCGTAATTAGTTAATTATATCACAAAGTTTTTACGTGTATTGCTACTTGTATACTTTTATCAAAAACTTGCAAAAACATTCTGTGATTATTTCAACTTTCTTTTTAAATTTCTTTCGAAATTATTTATCAAAATTTTGGAAATTATTTTTTATATTATTATTTAATTTTTGTTTTTTTAAATATTTAATTTTATTGTAAGGGTTTAAATTTAATAGTAATGTTATTGTTCTTTATACCATACAAGAATAACGTTTAGAGATAGGGCATCACGTCAAATTTCACGTCAATTTGACTTATATAATCAGAAATACTGCTCTGCTAGATCTGCATTTTGATGGACGCCCTTCTAATAATATTTGGGCTGAATATTTATAATATATGCAAAAATCGTACTAAAAAGTAATTGTACTTTTATTTAGTACTTTACAAATTTTGTTGAACCTTTTCAATTAATATTATGAACGTATGTATGAACTAGTATAATATAGTTTTTGAATATTACAAATTAAATTATATTTTCCGAAACAGTTGAAATTGTTAAATTTTTAAAACAAAAATTTAACCCTTAAGCGATATTCGAATAATATTACGAACAACTTTTTTTTTTTTAATATTAGTGTAAAAATTAACCTGTCTATATATTAACTTGTCTATACCTATATATACTTAATAAATAGTTATATTTAAATTTACTTATACTTTTGTTATACATATTATTTAGTTAAATATTTTTTATACATGTCAAACATGTTTTTCCAAAAACGGAAAAAGTTATTCAACTCAATTAAAATTTAAATTAAAAATTTTTAATATACATACATACATACATTTAAAAATTCAAATATCGTAAAACAAATTTTTGGAAGAAAAAAATTTGTGACTTTTCCCTTGACTTCACGAATATTTCTAATTTACGTCATACTATTAGAACTTGTGAAAAAGTACTAAAATTGAAAAAACAAAATAAAAGAAAAAATCTGTTTTATTTTTTTTTTACGATATTAAAAAAGATTTAAACGTTATTTTTTTAACAAGCTGGAAAATTTTTATATTTAATGGATAAATAAATTTTAACAATAAATTTTAAAATAATTGATAATCAATTTACAAAAAATTATAAAAAAAAACAGATACAATTTTACGATAAAAAATAACTTGTATGTCACACTGCATTATTATGTAACTGAAAATGAAATTGTAGGATAAGGAAACGTTTTTGTTGGCTTAAAGAAAATTTTCCAATAAAATTAATTATATTTTTGTTGTAACTTAATATATTTGTTATACAGGTATATTTTGTATATTACTTTTTAAACTTTGACGCACAAAATTACTGTAAATCAATTGCAATTTTCAAGGGTTATATATATGCATATGTGCATAATATTTTGAAATTAAATTAAATATTATGCACAAATTATTTTGAATTAAAATTGAATTTTTTATTCATAATCACATTTTTTATTTTATTTAATTAACATTCATAATATTGTTTGACCTTTTGTATGCCTACATAAACTATTTAGTATGCCCGGAAATTATTTTATTTATAATAGTTTTTTTGTACTAATAATAATTTTTTTTTAGTTTTATCGTGTCGTAAATTTATTTTTAACATTATATTGTATGAATAATATATATGTATATCAGAAAAAATCATATAAAAGCGAAATTCTGAAACAATAAAAAATTTAAATTTAAAATTTTACTATTTTAAATTTTTAAGGCATAAAATATAGAATTAATTGTATATATATGTACATATAAAAATGCAATATTAAATATGGAAATTAAAAAAGTGCTATAACCCTTTTATAAACTGAAAATATTAGTGATATAGCGCAGTAATTTTGTACGTGATACACTATTATAATATTATGGACGTGTTAAGTTTAAAATTTTTTTTAAATTAAAGCTTTAATTGGTATGCAATATACCTTTAATAATATCGTATAAAAACAAATTTTATTCATGAAAAATTAATGAAATTTAAAATATTATATTAAAAATTTCAAGTATATTAATCCTTTGTTTTCTAATTTCTTTAAGATAATTTGTCATAATCGTGTTAGAGCTATCTATATTTATAATTGCATTTTCTGTGATATTCAAAACGCAGTGAAGTCGTAAAATTTACAATTTTTTATATTCCAAAATGTATATTAAAAGCTCTTGACATTGTACATTTATCTAAGATGTACAATATCTAAATTAAGAAATGTATAAACCAAAAGCAGAGCGTGCAGCACAAAAAATTGGGGCTTTTTTCCGTACAAGGCAACGATTTTTTCTAAACAGACCGTTTAGGGTAATTCACGGTATTAACAAATTATTTTCAACCATTTTACTAAATTATTTAAATTGTCAATTAATTTTTTT